ACAGGAAACGTTTGACCTCTGTAATTGCAAACAAAGGTTTCTGTACCAAATATTAACACTGATTTTCTCAGGTGTTCAAATACTTATGTTCAGCAGTGCAAGACAAATAAATTCTTTAAAAATCATACAATGTGATTTCCTGAAATTTTTTTTTTAATTCTGTCTCTCAGAGTGGGAATGCACCTACAATGTGAATTTCAGACCCCTCCATGATTTCTAAGTGGGAGAACTTGCAAAATCGCAGGGTGTTCAAATACTTCTGTTCCTCACTGTATGTAGCTACAGAAGTCAATTTAAAAAAAATTACATTCTGTACAATCAGTGTTAATCCTAATATGAAAAATACTCTAAAAAGCCTAAAGTGCAATTTTTTGTTTCATTATGACACATGGTTCACCCATGGCCACTTTATTAGGTACACCTGTGCAACCTAATGCACTTCAACAGAGACGCCTTGCTGAAGATGCTTACAGTGTATAGTTTCTAATACTTTGCCCTCAGAAGTGGACAGAATATTTAAAACACTTCCAGTGTAATGTAGTCTAATACAACCTCAACAATGTCTCAGTGGTGATCATATTTGAGTTTACACTTCTCAAACCAAATGTTAACAAAAACTGAAGATGTTTTCCTTCTCAAAGGTAGACAGGCAGGGATTAAATTGCATTGTGTAGGTGTACCTAATAAAGTGGCCACTGAGTGTTTATTGGTTGTTTTTAGTTATTAAATCTTTATTTGACTCGCACTTAAACTTTTTTTTACATGACCATCTACTGTTTCAGTTATTAGCTTACAGTACACTGATGCTTTCTGGCAGTCACCACCAAACTGTCTCCATGTTGTTCTACTGTCTTTATAACCATCTCCTGCAGATTAACATTTCTTTCTGTCATACTCAACAGTGAACATCGAGAGTCATCTCAGTGTGTCGGTGTAACACAGACAAGCATGGTGGAATTCAAGAGTGTGATATAAAGATAAGACTGAGCAAAAAACAGACCAATTGACATTATATTCAACTTTAAAAATAATAATGATATTGGTGTCATGCCAAATGCCAGCGGTAGGTTTTCATGGCCTAGCTATCATATATGAGGGTCAAATTATAATGGGAATATTGCTTTTATGGCATAGTGGGGAAACTGACTCGACTCTTGGAGAAGGTCTGCACTCTCTGAGCGCTGTCTAGTTCTAGAAGGGTTTATTATCCTAAACGATTAAAGGAAGGAATACTAGCCCTAAAATAAGTGGAGTGCTGCTTCAAGAGCTCTTCTAATAAGATATTATAATCAGGTGGAAATGACTGCATTATATCTATATTAAATACTCATCTGACATCACATATTGAAAACTTAAATCCACATCTATTAGTGCTGTACTGGCCTTCAGGTAGGATCACACGACAGAGCTCCACCACCTGCACCATCTCCAACCTGCTCTTCAGGTTTTCTATTAGTGTGCTGAGTTGAAAGGTTACTCTAATCCTCTCAAGCCTAACTAAATCCAATCCCCTACATTAAACCAATCATCCTCCGCACCTTCCAGAATAATCCAGGCCAGACTACATTGTCCTTCTCCATGACGCTCTTGGTTCCAGATTGGCTACTCTATTCTCTGCAACATGTCACTGTAAAAGGAACATTCTAGTAGGATGCTCATTATGACAGTGGCCTAACAGTGACACCAACAAAGGAAACTACCTCAGCTTTAAGAAGGAGAATCACCCACATGTAGTGTTCACATTTGATACTGTATGCCCCCTTCCTTCATTCTCTCTTAAATCACTTCCTCACAAACTAAGCAAGAGAGTTTTATCCAGCAATTAATTTAAGCTCCAACATCATCATACAAGGTTGCACCATAACCTCCCCAGGGCCAGCTGCACTAGGGTGCCTACTAGGATCTGTCGGAACACACACACACACACACACACACACACACACACACACAAGTTAATGAGCCCCTAGTGAAAAGATGCCGTCATGGTTTAGTCTGCATTTATTTTTAAAGATGCCTTAATGGCTTCACGTATAGGCCACTTCTTAACTCCAATCTTCACACAATACAACAACACCAACACACTACTATTGAACAGATACAAGTTTGTAATACAAGACTGTTCACACATGCATGTATTCTTACCATCCACTCATTTAAAGGCAATACCTGTTTTTTTCAAAGCTTTGCCATAGATCAGTAGTAATATTTGTAATATGTAGTTACATTCACAATTTTGCTTTAAACTGTGCCTTTTGCATAAGATTAAAGAAGGCTTGGTAACTACAGAGCAACCCAAGTCCAGCGCTACCACACTACAGACACGCAGGAAAGAAGAGAAACACAAAACAGTCTACCAGCCAACACACATGTGACCATCACCTCTACAGGGATTTGCCTGACATTCAGAGGGCTGTGATAGGTAATTACTACTAAACTGTACCTTACATTGGGCTGCAATGACAATGTACCAACAATTTGTTGGAAAGCTTTTACTCAGTTCAATTAGTTTTTCCCAGTCTATCAAATGGACAAAAATAAAGGCATTGCCACTTATCAATTATCACACTGATCAAAAATAGCATTAATTTTACAGTGATTTTAAACATTTTGTGATTTCATTTGATAAATGATTATCATATAACTGCCCTTCATTATTTTCCATCTATGTTACATAACCTGTCAACAGAACATCAGCTCATACTAGAGGGTCAAACAAACATTAGGTTTCCTAAAGTTAAATACAGACATGTTTTACAACCAATTCTGTTTCTTCACGTAGAGTTTATGATCATACTATTACATTTAATAATTCATATTTGCCTTTAACCACAGCTAATAAAGGAACAATTGATCTTTGTATACATTCTGCTAGCTCCTCATGCTTGGGTATGGGGTTTGCCACCCAGTGCAGTGGTGTGTTTCACTGATGTTGTTTTAATTGTTTTTAACAACAATGGAGGTCTGTGGCACAGACGAAGAAGCTGATCCAGGACTGACACGCTGCCTGACATTAACCATGAGTAGAGGCAATTCATTGCTTGTTTTAGTCTCTGTATGGGAAGTGTTGAAAATACTGTTACTATAGCAAATGACTGGCCCCGTCCTTTAAATGTATATGGAAATGTCTGATAACCATCCTGTGGTTTGACTGCTGCATTCTGACTGCTTCTGCTTTTGTCTCAATTGTCATTTTAAATAAGAAACAATAGTGACAAATGGTCATCTTAAATAGATATCTACAGTATATGTCAATGATGGAAATTTTTGATAAAAAGTATAATTAACTTCTTGATTGGTATCAGAAATTCAAGGCAAAACAATACGAGTCTGTACACTGTTTATCCACTTTTGTGCCAGTCAATGAAAAAGTTTTGTGGCAGAAAAAGAACTGTGTAGATACATTTTTTGGCCCAGGCATTTTTTTTTGGATCTGCATTCAAATTACAACAAACAGTTTTAAACTCTTCGAAGTCTGCTTTCTTGAAAGCTCCACATAAAATATATTAAAAATCCAAAAATGACTACCGAGAGCATCTTAAAGAGGTAAAGACACACACTTCCACTTTAAAAAATCAGTTTAACGTTCTTGCTGACATTAAGGATTTTGGTTAAAAGACAGTATAGATGTTATCTTTACAGTCTAGAAAATTAAAATGATGTCCTGTTTAGCCTCTGTGTTTGCTTTAATAAGCTGGACAGAAGGTTGTATATATTGTATATTCCAGCTCCCCTAAATCATGCATTTAGGTATTTACCACGATAGAGAAAAAGGCCTGATCTTACCAACAAACATATACAATCACTCACACCTTTATCACCTTTAGTCTGGCAGCAGTAAGAAGGACAAGTTCAGTTTAAGGTAAACTCATCCGGATCAGAGCATGACTGAGGTGGATGGAAAACCTGACTTGGTTAAAATTATATTTTTGTTCAGATGCGATGAGGGTTTAATAGATCGGCATACCATCTGTATAATGGTCCTGCTTTTGTGTTCAGCGGAGTCGGATCAGCTTAAAGGGCTGGATATACTCCAAACTTTGCATGGACACTGTCAAGTGCCATGGTGATTCTGGTTATACTGCATTTGGTGTCCGCATGCACGGACATGTTTACATATGTTTGCTGATATAGTTTATTTTAGAAATAAATAATGATATATGTATGTGTATATATATATATGTTTCAAACCATTACAGACCTGTGCATCCATGCAAAGGGCACTGTCCAAGGTGTAGAAAAATCTTGGATCTCCAAGCTATCTATTCACTCATTCAGGGGTTTTGCTGCAAACTAACATATATATTATTCACCAATAAGAAAGTCACTTTCGGCTTTTCCCGTTTAGGGGTCGCCACAGCGAATCTGAGACTCGCATGTTGACATTTGGCACGTGTTTTACGCCGTATGCCCTTCCTGACGCAACCCTGATTCGAACCCGGGCCGCAGTGTGGAGAGTGCTGTTTATTTCTTAGGTTACACCTTCTTTATCCTGCAGGAAGGTAAGGCCCTGTCACTGGCAACAGTCTCCAACCTGGATTAGCTCATTTGTCTGTGCCATAGACCTCCGATCCGCATCAGCGTCTGAAGTAAGCAAGAGTCAACAGCATATCTTGTGAGATCTCCGTGTGAGTTCCCTGATTTGTTTACAGTGCGCTATAAAAACTTGGGGCTATTCAGAGTCTTGGGCCAAACATTTGGGTTGTATGTTTTAGTTAATAAAGAACAGTAACAGGGAGACAATATCAAACTAACAACATTGTAGAAAAAAATGCTAGGGCACTCTGGGGACCTAGTGGTGTAGGGTGCATACCACACAAACAACATCACAAGTTTGATTCCAACCTGAGACCATTGTTATGTCACAATCCATTCTCTCCTCCCATATTTACTACCAGCGTCTTTGTACACGACCTAATAGAGATAAATGCCAAAACAAAAAGAGTGCCTGCTAGGGGTGTTGGAGAATAAAAACCCTGGCTCAAGCCTGACGGTCAGATGACACAAATGTACTTGTTTATGAAGACCTCTCAAAATAAGGAACTATTTTATTGCTATTTTTAAAAGTCACTGCAGAGTGATTTGAAAATTTACTAGATGACAACACAATACTGGCACAACTCTAGGGGTATAATAGTGCATTGTGAAACAATATAGCATGATTAAAAAATGTGACAATATACATGGTGAAACTAAAAAACTGGTCATAATATCAAGTCAAGAGTCCCATGTAATGTAATGTAATGCAAGAGGGAACAATAGGCCTGATCTGACCGGCTGTTGACCCTGGTATTCACAGGGGTTAGCTACGCTAGCCACTGACTCATCTAATCTTCAGAAAAGGAAAATGTTTGAATAAGAAACAAAGAGTTTGAAAACTGTTTTTGTGAATGTACATACCTAAGAAGAGATAAATGACTGACTACTTTCATTCTCCCCGTGTTATCTGAGCGTAGCAAACCCTAAGCCCTACATCTTATATCAGACTGATCGTGGGCTGGTTATATCATTGCACAACTACACAATCTGACAGTAATACCTGGCATTGTGCTCACAGCGCTAAAAACAAAAACGTTCAAAACCCTATAAGACAATGTAAATAGTCTATAAGTAATATAAACTAGCCTATACTCGACTTTTGATGGATGGAACAACACTTTCAAAGCACACTAGTATAATCTTAAGCAGTGTAGCCTTAAAATTCACTGATATTAATTTAAGTTTGGCATCAGTTCTAGAAAGGATGTAACAACGTTCAACTAGCATACAACGTTTCTGCCTTTATCTTTAAACTGGGAGCTTATTAATAGTCTACATAACACTGACATAGACCAGCCGGTATCCGGTCTTGTGTCGAAATCCGCGTCCCTCTGTTCAAACCGTGTTTACAGTGGCGCCCCCTTGGTGCCTAAGGTTAGGGGAAACGGATCTCGACACGGCACCGAAAAAATCAGTATCAATCTTAGCATTATCTCCGCCGTATGTTACTGTTACTAAATAGGGTAACGTTGTTTGTAGTTACAGCTGTTAACCATACCATGCACACCGAGGAGTTAGCCAGGCAGGGTAACTTAGCCAAAGGGCAAGGCCGCTCATTTTAGTTGGCAGGTCATCGTTCAGATGCAAACCAACTAGCTTCGTAACTACACCAACATTTTAATGTTGTCTCGTCAAATAAACAAAACACCAGCCATACAGCAGACGTTCAGAAATGAGGAGTGAAACTGACGAGTTAGCCACAGCAGCTAACCTTACTGTACCATTGGGCACAACAACACACGTAGCATTAAGATATTAGGCTACTAACCATCTGGCTAACGTTATCTCGTACTAAACAAGAGGGACATTTAGCCTATTGCCAAGTGTCTAACCCTCGCAAAACATCACTACAGAGCAAAAAGGATACAGTTTGAAGCCTTTCAAAATTTCCTTGGCCCTGTCTTCGTCTGAAGACATTTCATTAATTGTATATTTGCGTTGCTTAGAGAAAACCCAGGATCTGCTGAAATGACAGAGCTGCTGTTGGTGGTAAACGACTTAATTAGCGCTGCCAGCTAATCTTCGTCTGAAAATATAAACCATGTGTACTGAACTCTCTATTGCTGAACTGCAGGTTGAATCTGAGCCGATAATACAAGCAGCTAAATATACCAAGCTGGCAGACAGACAACTAACCTAGCCAGTCAAAGATGTAGAGTAACTTCTAGTAGCCAATCACGTCTCAAAAATGAGAAGCATGGGCGGGACAAAACTGGATACAGACGCGTCACCATAGGCAACGCCACACATACTCCAAACCGCGGTGAAATTAGTTTGAAGTTGGACATCTGCACAAAGGACCCCGGGGCAACTGAACGGTGACCGGTGGTCACTGTCTGAACGGGACAGTAGGACCTCACCTACTCCGCATATGATCGAGACTCAAGCGCCATCTGTAAATTACCGTTCAACTGAAACGTTACCTGTTCTCCAACAGTCTTACATTAACATACCTCTATTTTAATAGTAAGTCATATTTTAAAAATCATGTGATTCACTGAATCTAAATCTATTCTAAAATGTACAACCGCATGGCCTGCAGAGTGCCCACCCCCTTATATCACAGTTTAGTACTTTAGTGTCAAATCCATTTTTACATGCAGTTGAAAGGGGGCAATCTGTCAGATGGCACAAGTTTTTGAACGTTTTCAGAGGCAGGAGAGGTGTAATATTTAAATATATAAAAATTTATATCCCATAGTGAGGTAACTTTTGTCAAACATGTCTTCAGCTTCATACACATTTACTCTCAATCTAGTCACATGCTGTAAGCACGTGCCCAAATGAGGCCTTCTTTGTCTTCATGTCTCTGAACTCATCACAATTATAGCTGTAATCGCAGTGTTATGATCAACTATAAATCATTGTAAGAATCATTACTGAGTTCAGCAGTAGCACAAGGTCCTGCAACACATCAGTGCTATGGCAGCAGCAACTTCTGATGTCTATTAGTTTTTACCAGTAGATGTCACTAGTCACCACTATATGACAATTTTAATTAATCTTGTGGCAGTGAAACCTCAGTGCTTCAGGAAAGCCTTGCTTTACCATCACTGTTTTGTTGTATCTGTGACATTTATAATCTCCTTAGGCTCAAAAATATTTGAAGTATGTTTAATAGTGAGTTTCTCAAAAATGACACAGAACAGAACTGAAGTGGAAGTTTATGCCGGTCAAGGATCAGAACAACATATTAGAAGTTGTTGACAAATTGGCAAATGCAGAGCAGAAGACAATCAGACCATTAATCTGGATGTTGAAGTTCAGCATTTTTATTAAGTGACAGATTAGTCCTTCTTGGCAGCAGCTTTTCTCATGGCAGCCAGTACATTGCTCAGCTCCTCTCTCTTTCTCTTGGCCCGATTGTGGGTGCCAATCTGGGAAAGAGAAACAGCAACATTAGACTGAATCACTTCAGCAGTGTGTATACACTGAGCACTCTCTCCAGTCATGGTGTCAGTCCAGTATAAAGATCAAACATTGAAATTCTGTGCATGTGCACATCTGTCACTCGCATAGTCATAAACCAGACAAATCAGTCGGAAAATGCTACCAAGAGTGCGTAGCAGTTGTAATTTATCAGGTGCTCTATCAGGCACCAGAAATACAAACTCACCCTCTTCTTGATAAACTTGAGTGCTCTCTTGTCCTTGGACACCTTCAGCAGCTCCATGGCTCGCCTCTCATACGGAGCAAAACCACACACCTCACGGATCATGTCTCGAACAAACTTGCTGTGTTTGGTCAGATGCTTCACAGGACAGAAAACATTTATTTTAAAAACATGATCCATTTTATCTTAAGCATTTGATTAATTCAGACTTCACTGCAGAAATTCTGGACAACAGAGATGGACAGTGTTGTAAATTGTATTACAAAGTCATTACCATATTGGCAGCATATTAGTAACAGTGTAAAAAAGCAAATCATTGTTATTTCTGATTGTTTCACTGTGGTTATGTTCTAAAGCACAGATACCCACGCTCACACCTCCGCACAACCCTGCGAGAATGATTTTAATGTGAATGCAACCAGACCAAAGGCTTCATCCCGATCTGCTCTGATTGCTCTCTGCCCTGCAACGTCTGCCAAGTCCCCACCAGAGCCCAACTTTAGCGGTTTACATACATGTTGTGGAGAATCCCTCCCCTTACCCTGCCAGTAGGATGAAAGTTTACACAAGTACAAAGAGCTCTATGTATTTTATATGTGGACGGTCAGTTATTCTGCCATTTGGGAGGTGAAAGAGAAGAAACTTCAGCGAAAAAGAAAAATAACTATTTAAGAATGACTCATGGGTTGCTAGTTTCAGAATCACTGTAGTCAGCATTCTAGGGCAGTAGTGACAAGGAAGGATTTTTTTTGTGGTCATGTTAATATCTTAAGTGAAATGTAATCAAAACTGTTTTTCCAGTTTGGCTAAACAAACCTGGTAAAAACGGCAGTAAGCCTTGTTTTGCCCTCTAGGTGGGTAGCTCTATAAAGATATGATACCGTGTGAAAACTAAGATGAAGATGTAAATTTGTAAAGGGTGAATGATACTGAAACACCCAAGCTTGCATTACTTCTGCAAAGCTTTGAAATGAATACCACCCCACGACTGGTGACAAGTGGAATATGATTTCACAGTTTCTCAAAGGCTGATATTCTAACTAAACACACAATATTTACTTAGTTTGGGCCTTTTCATGGGATTTTTTTGGCAGCAAGAACAACATACTATGCAACCAGATTTGTTAACTTTTAAATATTATGATGCAGTGTTACACACCAAATCACCAGATGTGGCTGTAAAATGTTTACACTGTGTTCCAAATCATGCAAGTGATTTATACATGTAGGACTTCAGTAAAATAAAAGTTATTTTTTGCTTGTTTTATTGCTCACACATCATCAGATAACTGGTATCAATCTCAGACAAGGTTGTTAATTAGTAGCCAGGGGATCTTAATTAGAAGGACTTCATGAGTTTGTTCCACATTATTAAGCAAGTCCGTTCTGGTGCAATATGGGGAAGAAAAGCCAGCAAAATGCTGCTCCTGTCTTCCTTTTATGTAACTGACAGAATCCAGGTGCTAGTCCGATAGTGTACTTCATGGCCAATTTGAAAACAAACGGGCTGTTATCCGAATTTGTTTGATCAGGAAGTACAGTAGCCTGGTATGTACATCCAGTTCCAGGTCCAGGTCTGTCTGTGGGCAGAAGTACACACACACACAAAGTGCACCTCGCCTCAGAACAGGCAGAAACATGTTTTAGCTGCATTCACACTAAATCCTTCCCACAGAGTTGTGTGAGGCGTCTGTGTTTATTCATTCTTTAGAACATAACCACAGTCAAACAATCCCAAAATTCACTGAATCACTTTGTTCTTGCTGATGCTGCTCTTTCTCCTTGTGTTCACTCTCTAGCTCTCTAGGCATAAAACGTAAAAAATAAATAAATAAATAAAAACCCTGGGTCAGCCACCATCATCAACTGACCTTAATTGGGAACCTGTGAAGCATCCTTAAAAGAAAGATCTATGAGGGTGGACAGTAGTACACCTCAACACAGCAGCTCTGGGGCAATACTGCCATCCCCAAGTGCAATAGAGGCAGAAACTCAACATGAACTTTCACATTCAATGGATGAGAGAGTTGTTAAGGTGATAAAGAGGGACTGGTATATTATTAAGTAGCTTGAGGTAAATAGTTTTTGATTGCCTTTTTTTGCTGATGAATTACCTCTTAACAAATACAGATTTTAGTTTTGAGTTCATTATGACCCGTTAAATTATTTCAAACTGCATTCTCTATAAAAATTTGGAACAATGAATTTTTCAGTTTTCAAAATATTGCAAACAATCGTGTCAGCTTTTGTTTGTAATAGCACTCCATAGTAATATACTTGAGGGTAAAAAGAACCCTAGTTGCACTGACTTTTTAGGAAAAATAAAACCTATCACTTGCATAATTATTTGGAACACAGTGTATATGATGTATACTTTTCTAATCTGAGCTGATGATGTAAGCTGTGAAATATTCAAGACCATTATTAACAATGAAAACTGTTTTGGGCATTAACCAAAAACCTATGAACTATAGGTTCATAGGTTTTTGCCCTATACTTTACTTACCCCACGCCTGCGGCTGTGTTTAGGAGCAGTTACATTTTTGGTAACTGGATGACCTTTGTTGAGGCCTACGGCCAATGGGTAGCGAATAGCCATGTCTGCAGAAGAACACACACAAACATTAGTCCAAGTGTACAAGATAGGGCTGGGTGATTACACAGACTTTATTTTCAATTTGGTTTGATTTTGGCTTCCAACAACTAAGAAAACAATCTAATATAAAAGTTACTGTGCTGCATTGCATTTTGCAATGATGATGTCGTTTTGTGTTGTTTTAAATCCAGCATGTTTTGCTTGCGTCAGATGAAGTGAAACCTTGTTCCTGGTGGCAGTGCCTAAGCGCTTAATGTACGTGCAAAACCTCCACGATTAAAAAACAAAGTCAGTAAGAGTGGTCTATCAAAACACCGGCTAAATGAGGACAAACTGCGGTACTAATGCATTAAACGGGAAGTCATTCACATAATAAGGCGAATTCAGTTTATCTTACATAGACGGTATTCGACAGCTTCCGAAAGGGTTTTTGACACATTGTACAGCATGTAGCTCAAGTTATCACAATTTTTATTTTGAGTGTTCCTCCAATTTTTTTACGCTAAAAACGAAGCTGTTTTCCATTTTAAGCAATAACTCACACGGATTTTAAGAGCTAAACAGATGCTGCAGTGTTTACAGAACCAGACGCTGAAAGCGGCTACATTTCTAGTTTCATTATTTTCTGTAACACAATATTTGACGCAGGTGTTAAGTGACGACAACAGATTGCTATACTTTCAATTTATTCGGAGGATACTGATGGATGGTGAAGATAACACGCTGATATTTTGGTGATAATTCCGAACAGTGAAATCATACCTGCCGTCTATGATGGCGGTCAAACCGGAAAGACTGTTGAGTGGCAAAGCAGGGTAATGGAAGGTTTGACCCGGAACACAAGCGTCTTCCTTCTTCTTCTTCATTTTTATGGCAATCTAGACGCAGCAAAGGCGCATTGCTGCCCTCCTCAGTTTGAATGTCGTCATGGCCATATTATTCAATTTAATATGGATGAGAACTGTTGTACTTTTTGCAACTCTCAGACAGAGACCACAGATCACTTGTTTTTCTATTGTAATCGTACATCTAACTTTTGGGCATGTTTAAATGACTGGCTCAGGTCCAAAATTGATTTCTTAGCACCCTTCACTTTAGAAAACATCAAATTTGGTATATCTCTGAAAGAAAAAGATGTGGAATTCTTGCTCAATAACATTATCATTTTGGCAAAATATTATATTCATAAATGTAAATGGAGTAAAAGGCAACCTTGAAATATCTGCATTTAAAAAATCCCTGGGCTGCATGAGTGTTAAAGGAGCCCGAGGTCTTTTGTCTGCAATTGGACGATTTGATTTATTATAAGCCCCTGGCTATATGTTTTAATGTATTTTATTATTATTATTTGTTCTCTCTCTCTTTCTCTTCAATTGATCACTTTGTTCTGTTTAGTCATTAAGGTGTATGATTTGTTGCTTGGTTCTTAATGAATTCTGTAGACAATTTTATTTACTTGCCTTGTATGTTTGTAAATATGATGTTCAATAAAAAAAACATACCTGGCCAATAAAGGTGATTATCCTTATTCAGAGGTGTTCCTCATATTCTGACCCTCTCACGTATGCACTTGGGGAGGACAAAAATATAGACGCCTCTTAATATAATGTAGGCCTTCAATTGCGTCTAAAAATTACTTAAGTGCAGAAGTAAAATAAATTAGATAAAGACTGGCCTTTTTTTTTTACAAAAGGGACATAGAAGAGAAGCATCTAGTCCAAAGTGGTGTATAAATTTCTAATATGAGTTCCTTTAGCATAAAAAAATAGTTAAATTCACTCCAAATAGTCTTGTTGATGTCATTTTAGTGAGACTGTTCTATTCATAGATGTGAAGACTATACCCCACAGTGACAGATGGAAAAAAATGAAATCAAACGGCTAGACAAAATCACTGCAATCCACAAAGGAGGAAAAGCCATGAAGCGTCTTTCTTTGGTTTACTTATGCTACTTGTATCGAACTCTCACGTTCTCATTTTATTCGCTGTGTGCTTTTGTTCCCCGACTTTTTCTTCTGATTACCGTAATACTGTTCATCACAATTACACAACTTAATGAATCACTGAATGCTGCTTTGTATGAAAAAAAGCAAATCTTATTCTCCCATCATCCATTGCGAGACAGGAAGTACTCTCTGCTTTTGGCGCGGTCTTGAGAGCGGCGTCGGACATCTTGGGATCACATCACTGTTTCGGACAACTCTTTTAGAACAGTGCATGAATATAGGAATCATTGATTTGATTTTTGCAAATTGACAAGAGAAACGTTTTTGCGTTTTTATTTGACGAAGACACAAAATACGTTTGTTTTTATTTTGCTCACTGAGTGAATAAGCAGACTCAACTGTCGATAGAACCGTTATGGCGACAGCTACTCCAAGCCGTGAAGCTGGTCGGTCGATGGCCTCGACACCTCTTTCTCCGACCAGAATCTCTCGTTTGCAAGAGAAGCAAGATTTGCAGCACCTGAACGACAGGCTCGCCGTATATATAGACCGTGTGCGTTCACTAGAACTCGAGAATGACCGGCTGATGGTCAAAGTGTCTGAGAAAGAGGAAGTGACTACTAGAGAGGTGAGTCAAATTGGACTAAATAACGTTAGTTAAACACATCACTGAACAGTTTACACGCATGCACTTGTAACTTAGCTCAAGCAGCAAGATTCCTTGGCGTAAAAGTTGGCTTTACGTTAACTCTTAACTTACGAAGATTTTACGTTACCCTACAACTCGTGACCACAGAAATGATTCGATGGAAAATGATTACAAATCAACACTAAAATGAAATGTGGTTAGCAAGTGGCCAAAAGAGATTAACGATGTACCCGTATATAACCAGCGGTCGCATCCAAATGCTGTCTTCTCATATATACATAGCACATATGGCTGTTACAATAACCCAATAACTTTGTTAACAATAATAGTACGCTACCGCGTTTTCTGTGTTCAAATATAACGGCACCGACAGATGTGTGGGTGGGGGTGGGGGGCGTTTATCCCGCCAATCTATGAATATGACCGGCGATTAATTTAAAGACAGATAAATAAGCGACATTATCTTTAACCATTACGTTTGAATAATGTTAGAAATGTAATTTTCGTTTTAGTTGGTGCTATTTGTCTTGCTCAAACCCTAATACTTAAGTTTGTTTTGCTAGTAAAATGGTAGACAAATAACAAAATCTATTTTGAAAAAGTAAGTTGTATACTGTAACAGTGCGGGGTTTATTTGCACAGTTCTTTTAATGATGTTCTCACGTGCTGATTTGAAATAATTCCGAATCAACTTGATGTGACCCCCCCACCCCCGCATTTATTGATAACCAGAAAGTTATGCACTCAAGAAAAGAAATACACAATTCATGAAATACAAGTGTTTGTTATGCAGTTCTACCTATTCATGGTGTCACATACTGATACAAATGAGTATTTAATGATATGTTTATTGTGTTTTTCTTATATAAGTACAGTATACCAGTGTCATAGCTGATGTATGGTGACTGAAGCCACCCAGCATGGTTGTATTGTACATGCCTTCAACACTTCCCCTGTAGCCCCTCACCACCAACCAACTGCAGCCACCTGTGTAGGGAGTTGCGTTTTTACTGCATCAGTTTGAGTGCCCCTGCTCACGGCCCACTACTTTGAAAAGAGCTTCAATGAACAGTTTGTTTTGTCTTCATCTCATCAGGAACCTTTAGACTATTTTGGCAATTTCTTGACAACAGCAGGTCAGTTATATGACATAATTTTTAGCATTGTTTCTGATAGTTTTGCCGGTGGACAGGCTGAATATCAGTACATAATAAAAAAATTGAAAAGTGAAACTTGGCTACAAAACACGCTTTAAAAATATATATTTATTGAGCAGTAATAAATAGATATCAGTTTTGTTTCCCAGGACAGTCTGAACAAGAGCACTCAGAGAATGGATATGCCTCCACCAAGGCATTGCTCATGCATCAGTACATAATGTGAAAAATGAGATCCAAAAATGAGATCAGCTTTTTATGACATATGGAAACCATTTTTAACACATTTCAACTTGAACCAAGCACCTGGGGCTGAGGCTATGCACATTCCCACCAACCTCTAGAAATGTAACAATCTGCTTTTGGGGGTTGAAAGTTGTGCTTGGACTTGGATATAATTATGAGACTACAGTTTTTGCGGTTGTATGGAAAAACAATAAAAATTTGAGGTAAAAATACTAAATGAACAATAATATCATACTTTCCTGAAGAGTATGGGTTATGTAAAAATGCCGTTTTGGGTTACTTTTTAAGCTTTTTAAAAACCAAGTCAGCAGCTCTCAAAACTATTGTTATCCTACTTCTGTAAACCTTTGGCCACATTCCACTTCTTTGGTCACTGTCTACAGTTAGTTGGTGGTGTTTGTGTTTTAACAACCTTTTCCTTGTATATTGATCTGGGAACTTTGAATCTGTGAATATTTCATCCAAGGGTTAGGGATTGGTCTTATGCTACTTTAAAATTTCATTATTTTTTTTTTTTTTTCAAACAAGAAAGTCATCATTCAGTTTTAGAATATCTGCTCTATCTATCCCAGTAATACCTAGGCTTACTTGGAGACACTAATGTGGCAGCAATAAAAAAAATTAAAAGTTAAAAACCACTTTAAATACAGTGGCTTGAAGTGGAATATTGTTGTGGAAAAATAGTTTCAAATTATTTATTTAGGAAATTATTTGTTGAGAAAACTCCTCCCACACATTTGGATATTTGTCCTAGTGTTTTCAGAGATACAAGTACCAGCTAGCAGACTAAGCTGTCTCCATTGTGTTCTGTTTCCTCTTCATTGAACTTAGGCTGCATTCAAATTTCTTGCTGTCTCGAATATTTGAATACTAAAATTAAAAATCATCTGCTCGATGAATGAATATTTAAATAGTCAAATAATTGGGTCCAGCCCTACTAGCTAGTATTGAATTTTTCTCTCTCTCTCTTTAGGTGACAGGCGTAAAGGCTTTGTATGAGGCAGAGTTAGCTGATGCTCGACGAGTTTTAGATGAAACTGCTAAAGAGAGAGCCAGGCTCCAGATAGACCTCGGCAAGGCTCAGGCTGAGCTGGATGAAGCCACACGCAGGTAATATTCTACAGTATACCTAGTTGCTGCACAGGTAAGCATTGGGATGGGTCAGTGGCTAATTGGTGGCAATAACTATCATCTTCTGTCCATGTGTTTCAGTGCCAAGAAGAAGGATAGTGATCTTGCTTCAGCGGTATCCCGGGCCTCTGCTTTGGAAGGCCAGCTGAACAAGAATGAAGCAGCTCTTTCTACAGCTCTAAGTCAGAATGCTGCTCTGATGTCCGAGCTGGCTGATGTCAAGAACCTACTGGCTAAAGTATGTAGTGAAGGGTTTCTTATTTAAAACAAAGGAGCGAAGTTCGATAATAGTGTGAAGAAATATTAGGTGTGCTTTTATTGAAAGGTAGTGCTTCATTATCCTTCAGACAGGTTAAAAATCCAATCAACCAACTACAGTGACTATCTTTGCTATACTTTGGTTCACAATAGGAATCTTCTTACTGCAAAGTCATGCTAACTGCTGACCAACCCAGGTAAACAGATCTCATTTTTATTTAAGGAATGTTTAATTAGTGGTAATCCCACTGAGGTTAGAAATCTCTTTTCCAAGGGAGCCCCAGCCAAAACAGAACCCCAGTTGGTCACCGCGCTTTGAAAAACTCCACCACTGAAGGGTGTTAACTACTGTCTCGTGTCGACCAAAGTTAACTAGAGGTTCTCAGACACAAGTGCGGTATGCAGTGTGGGTTTGTTTGGATCAGTGAAAACATGGAAGAATGCAGTGACTGAGTGACAACACTCCAGAGATTTCTCATTCATCTAAGAAGACTAAGTTTGAAGTATGGGCATATTTTGGTTTACACAAGAGTCCTGAGGGGAACTTAATTGAAGATGGTCACCCTGTCTATAGAACATGCAGAAAAAATAGCCTTTGAGAGGAGGCAACACTTGAAATGATCCCAACTCTAAATTAACTTTTAGCTCGGTGCAAGATGTGAGGACTTTGGAATGGGGCAAATAGCTTGTCATTAAGCTTTCAGTGTTACCTGGTCTTATAAAAACACTTTGCATTGTTCTGCTGCTGTACGTATCATGTGTCTATTTAACTGTCTTCTTAAGACTCATTTTTATGTACTCAAATGCAACAGAGAAGATTTAATATAAAAGTGTGTGAGAGACATTAATAATACATTTGCTATTCCCTTGTTTACAGAGTGGGCATGCAGCAAGCAAACCCAGTACCCCATAAACCCATTTTGATACATTTTCCTGTGTTTACAGAAGGCTATGGTTTTTGCACACACAGTGCATAATTGATATCAATAATTAGGTGGTTTTCCTGGGACATTATTAAAAACATTCATGCTTGCATTAAGAATTGACCCCAAACCAGTTACATAAACATTTTTTTTATTTATCATGACCAACAAGTGCTTTCTATAGTGCAGAGGGTGTGGTACAGATAGAGGTGGTACTCTGTGTTATTACTTGTGGTTAGCATGTGAGGATTATATCTGTATCCATAAGTGCTTATCTAGTGAGAGCACTTGGTAGGTAAGAAGGTATGCCAGGCTGACATGTAAATTTCACTCTTACACTTATGTTTAACTATCCATGTACTAATATTTCTCATGATGTTATGTGATGTCCAGGCAGAAGACAGCCATGCTGTTGCTAAGCGCCAGCTGGAGGCAGAGACACTCATGCGTGTAGATTTGGAGAACCGCTGTCAGTCCCTGAGTGAAGACCTAGAGTTCAGGAAGAGCATGTTTGAAGAGGTAAGGGGTGCTTAACTTGATATAGAGTTTTTGTACTGGATTAAATGGTTGTCCATCATCTTAAATTCCTAAATTGGAAAACACTGGTCAAATGCTGACTGTATATGTGAAGGACCAGATGACGGCTCCTAGAGGTGAAGCCAATGAGAATTTATCGCCCCCTCGTGGCCGGTTGCAGTGTGTAAGTCATAAATCCTGCCGCCTCCATGTTAGTGGATGGGACATGAACCAAATTAAAGACTCAGATCTGCAAAATAACATTTTTCCAAGAAATGAATTCTGTCTTTTTTTTTTTTGGTTAATGTCACACTGATTTATGTAGTAAGTTGTTTGATTATATAAAAAGGGGTGTATTTTAGTTAACGGCTTTGATTGGGGGTCCGATGCTGTCACTCCACTTCTGTTCACTACTGTGCAGAATCTTGTTGCAAAAAAGCAAGATGGCAGCTGTTGTATTCATGATAGTTTGGCTTCACGTTTGCATAGTGCAGGGAAATGATGACACGATGTCCATTGTATACTGTATATACAGTGGGTACAGAAAGTATTCAGTCCCCCTTAAATTTTTCACTCTGTTATATTGCAGCCATATGCTAAAATCATTTAAGTTCATTTTTTTCCTCATTAATGTACACACAGCACCCCATATTGACAGAAAAACACAGAATTTTTGA